AATTTTCAGTAGACTATGCATAATCTTTAAATGTATAACTTTTGCACATTAGCAAAAGTTAATCTTAAAGTTTTATGATATACAATTATTAGTTATTAGTTTAATTCATATACTTTATTTTTTTAAAAAATAAACAAAAAAATTTCAAAAAAAAAGTATGAATTTTAGTTTTATTACTGGATCCTTTTCAAAAAGATAAGCAGCTAAAGTTTTTTTTAATAGTTAAAAGATACTTAAAGATATGTATAGTTATATCTTATATGTCATTTTTTACCGCCAATTCATATTCTTTGGCTGAGGTACTAATGAGATTTTTAGCTCGTCTTTTTTAGTTGCTCTATTAGTTTTAATACTTCTTCTTGTAGAAATTTATTTAATCGATTAAGCCCAATTTCATAGAAAGTGAATATTTGTGTATAACTATCATGGTTCATTTCTTGTATGTGTTTGAAGAGATTATGTTGTCTTGGGTCTGTAAAATCGAATACACAAGTAAGTTCATTGACAAGTTTCCATAAAACTTCTATATACTGTTTAACTGCCCGATCTTTTGGAATTATTACATTATCACTTACAAATTCACTATATAACATTAGCATCCTTTCATGTTCATCCTAAATTGCTGCAATTCGTTGTTTTAAAAGTATTGGATCTGATAAGCCAAAAGTCAAATTTTGTTTGACGAACTTCACACCATATTGTTCCAGAGCTTCATCAAAAGCTAGATAGTGATTCTCTCTGATAAGATTTACTGAAGCAACATGTTTAAGCAATTCATATTGCTATGGGTGGTGTGATATCGATTCTAAAAAGAATGTTACTAACATTGCATAATTGCTTTTCCCAGTAGCAGGAAATAGAGGTGCAAATGCTACCAAACTTTTTAATTGCATATCTATATTTCCTGAATGAAATCCTGCACGATGAGCTTTCCAGTACCCAGCTAAATGGTAAGATAAGTACCAAACTTTTATGGTATTATTGCTTCCATTTATTATTACATTTTCTAATACCGTATTATTTATTTCTTCTTGTATCATATTATTTTTTTTTAGATGAAGATGAATCGCTATACCTACAGCAGCATGTATTAATTCTAATACATTGCAGGTTGAACGATAATCTACATTTTGCTCTAGCTTATCAAGAAATTTAACACCAAGTTTTGCTGCCATACTATATAAACCATATCCGCTAAATGCAGCAATTAAAGTACTACACATAGCTTTCGAAGTGTGCCACTACCCAAAAATAAATCAGCAAGTTAAATTTTCATTTTTATACGATTTAGTTCTTCTAAAAATAGCGGCATCACATGCTAAATCAATGATATCTTGACCAAGATCTTTTAAAAACATGTCAATTGACTCGAATACGGCTTTATTACTGTTAGGTGCTGGCCTGGGTTCTAGTATAACAAGATTTGGTGGGTTTACTCGATATTCTGACTCGATATTAGCAAATATTTCTGCATCAATCTCTTTAATGCTGAAGTTTCTTTCATTTTTATTTAATAGTTGTCTTATTATTTGATCAAATTTTATTTTCCATTCAGTTGTAAATTCTGATTTACTGAACAAA